TCATAAATCAACGAAATAAATGTTTATATTTCCAAGAATTAGTACATAATATGCTAACCTGTTAGTATAAAAAAACTACAGAAATATTTAAAAACAAGCTTTAACTGTATTTTGAATACCTGAAAAATAATAAGGAATATATAAGAACAGGCAATACCTAACATAAAAAAAGAAATCAAACTAGTTTGTGGGTTAAATTTACATTATTGCATGCAACTTAATACAGAAGTAGTCTTATTTTACAGTAGCTATTAAAAAAAAAATCACTAGTAAAATTCTGATGGCCAAAAATGCTCTCAAACTATTAAAACTCACTTGGGTTGCTCCCTCCTTTAAGACATTTACAATGACTTTATTCTCATATAAACTGAAAAGTTTAAGAGAGACATAGGAATTGGACTTACCACGAGGGTCATATATGAAAAGTGGTCACAAGAGTACAGAAACGCCACACAGCGATTTAAGGCAACAGAGAATATTAAGTCATATCTAAACCACAGAGGCAAGTAACTATCAGTAGACATGAACCACAATTGGACTTTGATAAGGACTTCATCTCTGTATTTATAAAAAGGAATTGGGAGCTATTTTACAGACCAAAACAAAGCTTTGCTTTTAGTGTCTTACCTGAAAGACTGGGAAAGTATTTTCATAAGTCAAGAATATATGGCCAGTGCTACTATTTAGAATGACATTTAAAAGCTATTTAAAACACTAAGAAGTTTCCTTAGTTGCTAAAATTACACATGCACAAATCAGAGGTTAAATGTTAATTTACATGATATTCTTGCTGAAGTAACATTTGAGTAGTATAAATATTAAAAGAAATGATATCAGTTGGTAATGTGGATTTATAAGGAAACTTCCTCCATTATGAGTCACAGAGAATTCAATCAAATCTACACATGACAGGGTATACTGAAAACATTCTTTCTAATCCAAGGGTAAAGCTCAATCTAATTCTGGCTTCACTGTAGCTCATTAGTAGGGAATTCTAGATTTTATTATTCTTACGTTGCCTTTAAATTCTCCAACAGAAAAGCAGACTATGAACCAGGCAATATTTAAAACTATTAAGTAAGCTTCCTATTTAGAGCTTTAAGAGAAATTACTTACACTAAAGAAGATGCAGATTGAGAATGGACAAAAGAAATAGTGTAAGTTATTTCCCTTAGATAAATAACAATGAATGATGATATATTTCTTGATATGTGATGAAAGGCCTTTAAGGCAAATACTTTCTATGAGCCCTGACAGAAGCTTCTACACTGGTTAGATAAGGTTCCTGAAGCTCAGGGAAATAAAGGAACTTGTCCAATGTCCTGTCTGACTAGTAAAAGTAGACTCTAAAATCCATATTGAAATATACTATGTCCAGTTCTCTAAATAATCACAATTGTAGAGATTTTCACTGACTACAGCCCCCTTGAAGAGTAATCTTGAAAATGGATCTATACTGTATACAATTCCAGAAAAGGGATACAGGTATACATGAGAAGGTATTATTTAAATGAAACTTAGAATGGCTCACACAGATGTATAAACAATAAATTTATACAATCGTTTGTACAATTTGCTATTAAGGTGATTTGCCTTGCTAAACAGTATGATGCAGGTAAACTCATTATCACTGAAAACTATTTAAATGATTAATGACGATGTGCACTATCAAGAAGCCCAAACATTTGAAACTGAAGAGAGCTAGATTACTTAGCACATTACATTGTTTTAAATTCAAGATGGAATGACAGAGTTTGTGTGCTTTGAAATCAGATCTGGATTCAAAACTTGGTCATAGCAATTATTGGCAGTGTTTAGGTGAAGTTAAGAGCCTTAGGTAAGTTTCTTTAACCCTCAGTTTATCCACCCACAGAATGAGGAAAATAAAAAGTACCAAATTTATAGGGTTAAGATTTAGATAGCAATTAAAGGCTTGATTGGCAGAACGTTGGTACATAATAAATAAATGGCAGCTGTAATTACTGTAGTTCTCTAACTGATCTGGGCCTCAAGTCTGGTCTGTGCAAACAACATCCTTAAGGACTGAGCCCTTTTGGTATTGTCAGTGCTCCCAACCAAAGACCTCCAGGAACACACCTGTAGTGGCATGAGTTGGGTTTAGTATCTGCTGCAGTGAAGCAGAATGCTCACCACAGGGCACTACGGCCTGTCTCATTACGAGGGCTTGCAAAGAACTTACGACAGGATTTGGGTTTCTGTTGAGTGATTCTGGGGATGCTCCAAGGAAGAAGGGGTTCACTCTAGATTAGTTACTATCAAAAAGTAGGAGCAATTCTTACAGGGAGGACAGGCCAGTGTGAGGATGAAGCCGCAACTGGTAAAGCAGCAGCAGTCACTCAAGCACCTGGCAAAGGGTGATGTTCAGTGGGTGGCAGTGACCTTGTTTTTGTCTGTGCTTAGGTAACACTATAAAACAGTCTTGTTTTGTCTCATTTTATTACGGTCTCAGCATAACCTTGTCTATTGGTGTTCTGAGAAATTGTTTATGTCCAGTTTCCAACAACACTGAGGCTTCAGTGTCAGATCAGTTTCTGGATATCAGGAGCTGTTCTTTATTTTCTCAGTATCTTTTCAAAGTATCTAGTAGGCCAGATCTATTATGCATTCTTAATAAACTTCCTGAATTAATTAATTTAAAACTGAGTTGTATTATTGTAAAGATGCAATCTTTTAGACAAATACAGCTGTTTTAAGATCAGTTTCAAATCAAGAGTTAAGGTTCAAACTCTAGTCAGTTCACTTTACTCTATGAAATGTAATATTGAACTTTACCACTGAATTTTTTCTTTCTATGACTGTACTGGTGGGCACATTATTTTCTTCATGTTCTTTATCAATTTCCAAGGCCAAAGCAAACAAACAAACAAACAAACAAAAACCTCATGCATTGGTTTAATCACTGCTCAGTTACACTTTAAAAAGAACTACATCTTCAATTTAAAAAATCCACAGTGTGATTATTTTCTTCTTCAAATCACAAATGTTATTTTCAAGAGTAATTAAGAAGATTTAATGGTCATTTACCATAATATTTTCAGGGAAAATGTTTTCATAATACATTAGGATTACTGTTTGCAATTCTTATCCCAAACCAGATATTAGGCAGTTTGTAATAGTAAGCATCTGAAAGAGCCAATCAATTTTAAAAAGCGGCCATACAATGGCTACATATCACCTGTTTTAGAACAGGTTTTACTGCCATACCAAGCTCCCCCTCACTCCAAGTCTTTTGGGCTAGTCCCTGGCAATTCATGCAAATGACTGTCCCATAAGCATAGGCTGCCTCAGTTCCAGCGTTTTACTAGTAAGTAAAACACTGAAGGTACTGAAATGAAAAGGGTAACAATCATACGCTCATGTGATACAGACCTTGTGAGGCAATAAGTAAGGCCTGGTTCAATTCAGTTCAGTCTTGAATTACAGCAATGCCTTTATTACACAGAATAGAGAGAGGCACTGGCCCTAGCAGGTGGTCCAGCACTGTCTGAGAGCAGGTTTCTCATTCTTAGCCAAAGGGAGAACACTTGGCTAGAGTTTCTCATAACTGGAATATCAATGGCAATAGTAAACAGTTAAAAAGACTGAGCTCATCAAGCCTGTAAGGATTCAAAGCAAATACCAGATGTCAAACTATCTGTTCCTAAAAGCCCTGATTAATACCGTAAGTATTTGAGGGGGAGGAAATGGGACACTTCATTCAAAAGCTCTGGGGTCTCATAAAAAAACAGATACACTGAAAAAACTATTAAATAAATGAAATAAAATGACTATTTTTTATAATACCTTCAGACTTAGGGTCACTTAATATCATAAAATATATAATAAATTAATGTTATGTATATCTATTTTGTTTGCATATCTGTGTTTGTGTATGTATCTGAGTGAGCATATAGGCACTGTGAGAAAAGTATTTCCAGATATGAATGAAGACTAAGGGTATGTATCATTTAAATATATCAAGTGGTATTTGTTAATTTAGTTAAGCTGATGGCGTTCAAGTTTTTACTAATGACCAAAGAATCTCCAAAATTTAAAAGTATGGTTAAAAATGAAATAATAATAAAACACCTTTCTAGGATGAAAAGTAGTAATATATATGAACATAAATTAAGTCATTGTTTATAAATCTATAATCTATAATCCTATAATTTTACGAGTATAGGCCATAATGTATGCATCTGTTTATTACAGATGCATGCTGTACTCAAAATTTCAGCACAGCTGAAAACAAATGAATACACATAATTAGCTCTTTAATTTAAAAAAGATATAAATTAAATATGTCAAGTTTATTAATCTAACAGAAAAAACAATGACTGAGCTGCTACTTTTATATACTAGTTAGTTAAAACTCTGTAATAGTAACAGACTAAACTACAGCACTATCTGGGTCATTGACAAAGCAGCAGCGATAAAGAGGTGAGGAGAATTTAGAACTAAGAACATCCAGAAATACAAGGATGAAGGAAAACCTTAACAATGGGGATAGAAGCCTCTCTACAGTTTAACCATCTGCTTAGTAAATATTTCTTAAGGATATATTAAAAATACAAATCCAGTAGTTATTTCCAATTAAAAGATGTTGGGAGTCCTCCAGGTATGTCAGTGCCTTACATGATCCCAGAGGGGTGACATCTTTTTTGGGGAAATGTTTATTCCCCTCATTGATAAGGAGACAACACAAATAATTGAGGATAATGATAGACAAATTGTTAAATTACAAAACTGAGTAATTCCTTATTAAAGCATATATAAAGCCACATTACATGGAGCACTACTTAATTAAACAACCTTTCACAAATTAATAATGGTATCTATACTTTTTTCCCTAAGTATTTCAGTTCAAGTGCAATGGACTTCTCTATTACAATTTTTGGTGAACTCACAAAACTAATATTGCAGAGTGTATATATTATAGTTAATTTTTGGCTTCTGCCTATTAATATTCAAAGACAGAGAATTTGAATGTAAAGTCTTACCTGACCAGGTTCTGTTCCAGTAACACTCAAGTCTTGGATGGATCTACGTCTTGGCTGTCCGTTGCCTTTTAAAAAATAAAAAGTAAAATATTGAAATTTATTCAAACAGACAGTAAGGGTATAAATGCTATAGTAAGAAACTGGAATTTGTTGCTCCTTGAATCTACACAGAATGTTTGTGGGAAAAAGAATAACTGAGTATATTGTGAAAAAAGCAAAAACAAAAACCCAAAACCCAAAACCCAAAACCAAAAAAGAGAAGAGAAAGATGTAAGGAAAGGAAGAGAAAGTTGCAGTGCTTTAACTCAAAAGCTGCTGGCCTACAGCAAAGTATGTCCTAAAACAATAACCACTCCTACCACACGAATAGCTGCTGAACTCTCTTCCACCATCTTCTGTCATGTATTTAAATAGATGAATGCTTGGGGGCTGGGGCTGATGATGGCATCTATTTCAAGGTCCTTACGTTATGATTTCTTCAGCAAGACAGCTAGGAGGTTGTAAGACATGACTGACTTTAACCAGTAGCCTTGTTCATTTCAGGGCCTAAAGGATGCTTAGGGCTTAAATTTATTATATACTTACTTAATCCCATTAGTCTCTGTCAAAGCCTGGTAACTGATTATTTGTGAACAACAACTCTTAATTTTCTACTGGACATGAATGACTCTCATTTATTCTTAAATATATAGCTTGGTGAAACAGACTGCTGTGTTAGTTCTGCTTCAAGAACTTCTATGCTAATAATAATATAAAAGTCAGTTTATGAAAGAATTCTACAAATCTAAGTCTTCAGCAAAACAGAATGAATTGAGCAACTGCTTCACTTGGCATTTTTATTTGGGAATAGGGCCATTTGTACAGTATCTTTTAAGATGAGAGATCAGCTGTCTAAAAGGAAACACCAAAATATTATGAGTAACAGCTGACACAATACTCAAAATTCTTGAGACTCTGAAATCTCTATTATGTAATTTATCAACTCGTGAGCAACACCACGAACATGCACTCTAATACATTGTTGTGACCTGATTGGCAGAAAGAAATCATTCTTAAAATTTCATAATTCCATAATCCTGAGTATCTTAATTTAAACCAATAAGCAATGTAATTTAGCATCTTAATACATGTGACCCCATTATTATTTTGCACATAAACTAAAAGGACCTTACAAAAGAATAATAGTGTTTTATGCAATGTTAGTGAATATAGCACTCAAATTTATAGCCACCCTTGAAAGTGTAAGATACAATTCTTTTCCATTTCAAGCTATTGTAGAATTCTTTGCATAATTTTAACTTAAATTTACTTTAAGCTTCACTTTATTTTAATTTCCATTACAAATTAACGTGGCACCAAATTGCACATTTAGATATCAAGCATTGGGCAAACTAAGACACTTTTGTGAAAACTTTTAACTCTTCTTGTTTCCCAAGGACAAAAAGGAACCTCAACACCATGACTAATAAGCAATTTTAGGCACATTTCATTCAACACAATCATTCTAAAATTAGCTTAGATGAAACAGGCTTGTAAAGTGTCTGGAATTCTCTTTTCAGATCAGCGACATTTGTGAATCTGGGGAACCACCCAGCACATGTGTCTAAAAATCATTACATCATCATTGCAATACAACAAAACAAACTCAAATCTAGGTGGGGGTAGAAGGAAAGGGGATTAAAAAGAAGTAGGGTTAAGAAGAGTTTATTTAACAAATGCCAGAAAATGAGGTATCTTCAAACTACAGCATGAATCAAAGCAAGCAATATCAAGCAATGCATTTTAATTGGCATAACCACAGCAGACACCATCTGGCAAATAGTTCAGACAGACAAGGCAAAAAAGGATTGCAATCAACAAATACTTGTTGCTCCAATAGTAAGTTTTAAGTCATAATTTGGAAATATGAATGTAAAAAAATCAAAGTCCTATTATTATAAGTGAAAATTACTGGATGTGTTTCAGTAAATTTAGATTGATTCTGAATTTTTTACAACTAAATATTAATTTAGAAACTCACTTATATTGCAATTTTTCATGGCTTCATGGTATGTGTATACCTATATTACACATGGTAGTATTAATGAAAAATGTAGAAGTGAGGGGCAGTATGATGTCAACAGATACCTGATCAAGGAATCTGAAACCCACAAATGACATTCAGAGTATTTCATTCTGCAATGCATTCTGGAGCTTCCATGACTTAAGATAGAGAACAAATGAGTTTTTATATTAAGTTCTGAGTAAGGGCAATAAAAAGAATGCACATACTCCTAGCCCATCCTACTCTCCATCCCGCAAAAAAGAAAGGGTAGTTGGAATAGCAGCATATAGACTAAGTCCGTTGTTTTTACAATAATGTCACAAAAACAGAATCCATCTTTCAAAAAGTTGCTCTTTTAAGTACAACTCATTTCCTGAGCTGGTGTATGAACACAGATCCTTGCAGAGACAGCTGGCTTAGGTCCTAGTCACTCCAGCGGTTGTTCTTATTGCTCTGAGTAGGCTTATAGTTTTCCTTACCTTAAATACTTTCATTTTTCTACCTTCAAAACTTCCTGAAGACTCTTAATGTAAAAATCAACACTACATTTTCCTGCATGTATCTCTTAACCAAAATGTTGGAGATTTTTTGATTCTTAAGTTTTGAATATTAAAATTGTGGAACATTGTTCAGGTGTAAAATACATAAGATTTAAAAAAATTTGTATAGCACTATACACTGCAGTATTAAATTACTGCCTCATGGTAAACTGAGTATCCACTTGAAAATATATTTCCTCATTTAGACTGCCACAAATTTCACACTCCTTTAATAATTTCAACAAGTTCTGGCTTATTTCTTAGAAAGGCCCTTTAGGGTGCATTTTGTTCCCCTCTCTACCAAAGGAAAGCAATTACTATTGATGAGTTTTTCTAATAAACCAGCCTTATTAGGTTAGAGTTTTTTAAGATTAAAAAGTGATCTTGGTACACTACAATATGGTAGAAAGAGACTACATACATATTTAGTGTGGAGTTAGATGAACCTCCCTATTTACATTAGCCACCAGTATAGCATAGAATTTTTTTGAAGGTGAAGTGACTACACATGGCAGATATGGCAGAGCCACATCAGTGAAGCTCTCTCCCTGGGCCTCATAGCATCCCTAATCCAAGGTTTATAGCTGCTAATGACACTTATCTGGGCAAGGTAGGAATTTGCCAGATCTAAAAAAGCTCAATTCTTTTTATCACACTGTTTCTTCATATTGGCACTGCACTATTTTTGAGGGGTGGGGAGGGGGGAAGAGGGAGATTACATTAATAATGTATGCACTTACAGGTAAAGGAATGTTTACAAACATTAATATCTACTGGCTGTTAAACCAAATACAGTATTAGAAAGGTTTTATTCTTGTGAAGGAGAAAGCAAAACAGTGCCCAGGTGCTGAATAGCAGTTCTGCCTTAAGCTGTCCAGGACTCCACAAAGCCCACCACACCCACCCCATCTATTTGCTAATTACCTTAGACAGCTGAAACATCTTTAGGAGGACAACACTTAAGTATCGAAACCTGACTACCTGTTATTTTTCTGTTAAATATGTTCAGGTCTTTGCATATTCTACTTAAATACTTTTATCATACTCATGGTAAAAAATAGAGCTAAATATCTCTGACTGAGAATCTTTAGGAGGACAACACTTAAGTATCGAAACCTGACTACCTGTTATTTTTCTGTTAAATATGTTCAGGTCTTTGCATATTCTACTTAAATACTTTTATCATACTCATGGTAAAAAATAGAGCTAAATATCTCTGACTGAGATTAAAAGAGAATATTCATTAAATTTTTCTCAGTTAAAGAGATCTGAATGCAGCTGAAATCCTAAGGACATCTAAAATTTATTCTCAGTTTTAAGAATATATGACACACAATACATATAAACTAAATTCAGGTTCTTCAGGGACCCGGGCAAAAATATTTTATATATTTCATTAAGATCGACTCAAAACATTTGTGGATTCACTCTTCTTTATCATACCCTTAAAGAACAGTATGTAAGACAAAAAAACCTGTTTGGTCAAGGCCTCTGTCACCCTAAAATACTACACCTTACTATCTTAAGCTCAGAAAAACCCAAAGGCATACTATACTACAGCACCACTGTTCAATGAAATCAAGCATTATAATTTCTGAACTAAGAAAGAAATTCAGAACTATTGATTACAATATTATAATAGCACTAATAAAAACTTTAAATATATTCTACAAAACTTTCTAATTTAGCTGGTTTTTAAAAGACAGTTATAATAATCATAATGACCACAACAATGTCAGTATATGGAAAAATTTGCTCTTGCAAATCACATACTGGAAATTTATTTCACTTTATAACAGCAATCAATCTGGTATAAACTATGTACAAAGAATTTCATACTAGGGAGGAAATGCAGAAGACTAATGTTTCCATTAAATCTTTAACAGGTGGTATGTATATATGTACCTGCCAGTACTTTTTTTCAAGTGGATTTCAAAATGCATCATAATCACAGCTGGTTTCCTTAAGGGCTGTAACTGCTCGCACAAGGACTCCCGGGCAGGACTGCTGATCTTCCTGGGTTACCGATGCTAGAGCCACGAACAAAACCTGACTTAGCTTTCTTAATTTCTCAGTGTCTTACTCTACATTCTTTCAGCTGGAAAATGTAGTTGCTCTTGTTTGAAAAGTTTTTGACATTTTACCTGTTAATCTTTGACATCTGGACTTTTAAGAAATGTAAAATTAAGGCCTTCTAACACTGGATCAAATGTTATCATCAGAATGTACTATATGGTCTCACAATTCATACCTCTCTATTTCATCTAAGTATTTGAGATGAAGATGGGAGGGCAACAGATGCTTGGATGCTACCAAAAATGAAATGTGGGGAATTCAACAGAATCCAGATAAAAGAACCAAATCAAGATCCACATTCTTATGAACGTCTTGGAGGAAAAAAAATAAAAATAATTAAAAATTAAGTTTAGAAATAAGCAACCCAATAATCTGCTACCCATTCTCTTTTCTTCAAATAAAGTAACACAATTAAAATGTGTTGGCTGAAAGAAGAAAGGATTATGCTCTCAAATCTTCAAGTTTTAAGGAAAACATTCAGAAAAGGACACAGGCTTTCCTAAAAGTCCATTCCAATTTATCAGCTTATAATGTTCGTAAACAAATGGATCAGAAAACTAGGTCAAATGGTTTAGATACTGAGCAAGAAACATTTACACTTACATTTACTTTGCTTAGACAGCAGTCTGTTACTTGGTAGGACCTTCTCCACAAATGAAGAATTCACAAAATGTCATACTATTGGTAATCTGCTTCTATGTGGTAATAGGAAGCCAGAAAGATCTATGGCCACTCTGTAGGCAGTGGGATGTAGAAGGGAAGAGTATCCATGCCACAGTTTACTAAAGCTTCTTTAGAGCTAGGATCAATGAATTAGAGATATAAAGAATTGTAGAGTATGATCCACAGAAAGTTCAGAGGTATTAAAGGTCCATTTTTGCATGACCCAACTGATGAATACTGTTATTATCCATTGGGTACTTGTTCTTCATTTGAATGACTGCATAGTATATAAGAGCAGGCAAAAAACAAGATTTGGATTTGCTTACCTATGACTATATTAGGCATTTTAATCATTATAAAGATGTATTAAACAATTCTATAGCATTAAGTGTATTTAAAAATTTTTTAAACTTATTAAGATTTTAGAAAATGAAAGCAGCAACACTTCAGAAAGATCAGTTTGTACACTGCCAGTAAGTACACATAAAAAATTTTATGATGCTTAAAGGAATGCTCTTGTTACAAGGCAGTTCATTCCAAGGAATACATTAAACTCAGTATATTGCACATGGCCCAAGGTAAGTATTACTGAAACTACTTTGTACTAAAATAAAAGACTATTTTAAAAGTGCTTACTGGGATGCAATGCTAATTAATGCCAGTTTGGATGTATCAAGAAGTATCTGGTAACCACAAAAGTTGAGGAAAATTGACTTTAAGAAAATAATTCTAGATGGTACTAAGGAATTTGGGGAATTAAGCATAATTTTTAATTAAATAAATACATTTATACTTTTTATAAATATATTAAGTAATAATTAAATTAGCTATAAAAACATTTGAGATATTCCCAAAACATGGGTTTTATTTTCATATTTAATTTAAAAATATAACCTACAAATTGTTTGGCTTTTATGTCCAGTTGTTTCAATTCTAGTGCTTGCATTCTTCTATTAAAATAAAACTGACAAGGTTTATGTTTGGATATCTGGGGTTAAAAAAACCAACATGGATATTTAATGAAATGTATTACTGAATACTATTTCCATTTGAACAACGCTGTTCTGCTCTAGCAGAATTCAGGTCTCCTGACTCCATAAGGATCCAATGTCGTAAAACAGGGTCTCCTGGCTGAAGACCTCTCTTTAATATAAGTCCTAAGAAGGAGCAGGCAAAATTATTCTATCTTCTCTGACTCAAAAAAAAAAAAAGAAGAGAAAATGTATGTGATTTGCTGGAGTCAAAAGATCCAAGTAGGGACACTGGCTGTGTAACTCAAAAACCACCCAAAATCATCAGATCTAAGTTCTTCATCTATAATATAGCTATAGTTTTATCTGACAACTTGGTTGCAAAACTGTTATGGTCAATTAAGAGATGTATTTTAAACTACTCTACAGGCCACACAGGGCATCTAACCATGGTTTCTCAGTCGTGGCTGTCCAATACATTGTTAGGATGTTTGGCAGGATCCTTGGCTTCTGCCCAGTATATTCCAGTAGCACCTGCCAGTTGTGACAATCAAAAATGTGTCTAGATATTGCCAAATATGCCCTGGGGGGTAAATTCACCCTGCTGAGAACTGAGACTTATTTTCTCCTCTTCTCCTCTCACTACGTTATTTGGTATTGGCAATATCACCTATTGTGTGATGTGTGTGTGTGTGTTCTTCATGCTTACCTGAGACCTGGATTAAGATTATATCACCACTTGCCTAAATTTTACTGATTCCCTCAAACATTTAAGATAATCACAGCTCAGCAGTATATATGTTTAAACGTCATTTTTTAAGTTAGTATATTATTCGCTTGAACAAAGTATTTTTATCATGGAGGAAAAATGATCTTAAGTGTTTTGTTAATTTTGAAAGCAGCCCACGACTCAGTAAGATTATTATGTGAGAAATGGGTTAACTCTATTCTCTGAACAGCAACAATGATGTTGTAAAATAAATGATTTTGATGTTGAATAAAAATCAACTACTTTAATATAAAATGGTTTTATACAGATAAAATGGCCCCTAAGAATGATATAATTTGTATTTTAAACATATTTATAGTTTACATAGGTTTTACATACATCCTAGTTCTTAGCCACTGGAGCTCAGTAATGGCTTGTTCATTTCTTTAACAGGCACATATTTGCTATAAACACTATGTGTGAGACATTGAGCCAGATACTGCTGATACAATCAGTAATAAGTAACAAACATATGGTCACTACTCTTGGTTTTCAGTTTACTAGAGGAGTAAAGAACCACTAGGTATTCAACTATAACACAATACTATTCTAAAAGCATAATGACAGGCAAAGTACAGGATGCTGAAGATTTCATTCAAATCATACTTATGAAGGTATCAGGGAAAAAGTGTACAATTCCTCATCAAAATGTTGGGGGAAGGGATAGAGGAAAACCTAAAGCAGAGGGATAAGTAAATGATAACTTTGATAACATGTACTAAGCAATACTGATGGTCACATACACCATTAAGTTGCTATCAAAAATGGTGATTTAGATTCATCTACAAAACGATCACCATAAGAAATAAAAGCAATTTACCAGTTTGAGACACTGAAGTACCATGTGTGAGTTAGGTATAAAAATATGTACAAGAAGTTTCTCCTGATAATACACGACAATCACAATTAACCATGATTCTTCAGCAAGATACCATGCAAAACAGCAAATCTCAGTTGGTTTTACTTCGTTTCTGTTTTCTAGGTTAAGGCAAAATGGTATTTGGCAACTCTATTTTCTTAACTTCATATTTCGCTTGCTACCAACAGAAAGAGGCCAGGAGAGAAAGCCTAGAGGGAGCCCCAGTAGTAGTAACTAAGGAAGGAGGGGAGCCAAGAACAACCAATATTTTTTAATAGTTGTTTCCTCTTTCTGTTGGCTGCAAAAAAAGTCTGATATCAGTTGCTCACTTAAAATATCAGAGGAAGTTGGTAAAATTTTGGGCTGCTATTCTCCCTTCTGTGAAAAGGTTTACTTTGCTTTCTATTTTACCCTCAATTTTGTAGATCTGAGGTATCCTGTCAAGACCACTTCAGTGTGGACAAATGTACAATTTTTTATTTGTCTCTTTTATTACTGCATGCAAGTTATCTATTTTCATGCCCTAAGGAAACTGGAGCAAGAAGCATTTTGTAAGTACCAGGGAATCATTACTTTGGTTCCACAGCTAGAAGACCAACTCAGGTGGTCTATGATACCTGATGTGACGATCTCAGGGACATCCAGAATGTTGCCATATGAAGCAGTTTTACGGTGGCCCCGTTTAGGCTTGGAATAGGCTGCAAAAACACATATATACAGTATACATGCAAACAACCACAAATAGTAACACAGAAAAGTAACTACAAAAACAGAGTAATTTTGAAATAGTTATGTTAATAACATTTCATGCAGAATGGCATGCAGAACTAACTAACTTCATCCATGCTGAGAAAAAGCATGATTAAGGAGCAAACAACTACCAATAAAGAAAGACGTTTCACGTACTGGCTTTAAGTAGCATTAAAAAAAAAGGAGGGACAGAGACAAACACAGCTGCAAGGTAATGAGGAAGCTAAATTTCAAACATTCACATAAGCAAACTACCTCAGTGAAACCACTGATATGCAATGGGGGCTAGGACGAAAGTGGGAGGCAAGGGAGGAGTTAAAAAGAAATGAGCTGCCAGATTTACTTTAATTACATAAACACAGGAATATATATGTTTAAGTTAGGTGTTTCTTGAAGTGTTCTATGAAGTAAAATTCAGTGATTATTAAGTCATAGTATGAATGTTTATGCTTTTGTAATATTCATACATACTTCTAGTAAACTGAGTATTGTAATATCTAAAATTTAGGGTACATTCATGCTACATGAACAGTGTTGAAAGGCTGAAAAATACGAACCTTTCAAAGTATGTTAACTCATGAAAAAATCTGAAGGGTGTAAAATTCAATGGATGTTCAGTAGCATTTGTTTTACTTTTGGCAGAAAAAGGACAGGGTAACTAAATGTTAGCTTTAATCTAGTGAAATATCACTTCTGTGAAGAAGAATTATAAACCAGTACCTGACTAGAAAACTGAGACTAGAAAAATATAAAATTGTTATTGCAACATGACTTTGTATTTTAGAGTAGTAAGATCACTATTTGGCAGGTCTAACTTGAATGACATCCCTGAAGTGAGAAGGTTCTCCCAAGGGTGAGGGTATGTCCCTGTGTGTGCTGCTCATCTGACACTACACTGAGACACCCTCCCTCCACCGACACACTTGTGATTCACAGAGACCAGGAGGACTTGTGAGTGGTAACCTCCATTCAACTGAGGGTTTCTAAAGATCTAGCTGTGTGGCAGAGACTTCTAGTCCCCTGCTGATCTCTATGCTTCCCTTCTTTCTTAGAACCCTAACTTTACAACAGCAATGTTTCCAGATAAAAGATCACTGAGCCTTCTTTCCCTTGGAGCCATGCGTAGCCATCTGACCATATTACTACGGCCAATGACATCTATGTGAAAGTTGTTAGGAGGAACTCTGGGAAAGCTCATTGAAAATGCTTGAGCATATGCCCTTTATGCCTTCCCCTAATTCTTTCCTCTTGCTGAATGGATTACGGATGTGATGATTAGAAATATACAGCCATTTTGGATCACATTTTGGAACCTTTAGGATGGAAGCCACACAACTGTGGGATTGCGGCAGAGAGAAACAGGAGCCCAATTGCCTAATCATCACAAAGTTTACTCCCATATTTGTTTATGTGTGAAACATAGAGCCTATGTGTTAAAGACACTATTATTTTGGATATTCCATGGTAACTGATTTTGATGCTAACTGATAAAATCAGTGATCATTATCAATTGAAGGAAGTATAGTATGATGGTCCTCTGGACAATTTCCATCTGAAAGGAGCTCTACACAAAATGAGAAGATTCTATTTAGAAAAAAATGAAGTGAATGAGAAAAAAGACCTTAAAAAAAACAAACAAACCTGGTTAGCTAAGTTAAAAAATATATACGCTAATACACATGGAAATACACTTGTATACACATAAACAGTTAAAAGACTAGAGGTAAATACACAAAAATGTTAAGTGTTTATCTTTCAGTGGAACAATCATGGAAGATTGGTTTGTTTGTTTACATTTCCACATTTTCCACAACATGTCCCCTCTACCCCTGGGGGAACTGGCAAGAAAACAAATCAGTATTACTAAAATGAAATTTGGTTAGAAAAGAAGGTTAGAAGTTCACTCAGGAAACAAAACATATTTGTTTTTGTGCTGACCAGTCCTTCTATAATTCATTACTTTAAGAAGCGACAAAATGGAATTTAAATGCTAGCTTTTTCAAGACTGAATGAAATTACCATGGTCTTTTATTTTACAATAAAAAGAATTAACCACAACTTACTTAGCTATTTTTGCTACTGGAAGGAGTAGACAGTAAGGCCAAATTATACCTGGGTCTGGAGTATATTTTTCTTCTAATTTCATTTCAAAACACATGTAATTATTTGAGATCAGCACAAAATTCTAGTAGAATCAACTCAAAACCTTCTAAGATTGTGGTATTGGCAAAATTTCTATTTTTCACTTAGATTTTCAGCTTATATTTGAGTTGAAAGAATTCACATTTGATAAAATCTGTAATTAGGAAGGTATATTTTATGATCCAAATAATTTGGTAAGTTATACCTTCCTTCTTTGGAATTTGAGATCAGTGTACAAATAACTGCTGAAAGTGTACTATAAGCCTGCTTCCTGCTTTAAATAAGTTTAAGATACAAATAATCATTATCAATTGAAGGAAGTATAGTATGATGGTCCTCTGGACAATTTCCATCTGAAAGGAGCTCTACACAAAATGAGAAGATTCTATTTAGAAAAAAATGAAGTGAATGAGAAAAAAGACCTTAAAAAAAACAAACAAACCTGGTTAGCTAAGTTAAAAAATATATACGCTAATACACATGGAAATACACTTGTATACACATAAATAGTTAAAAGACTAGAGGTAAATACACAAAAATGTTAAGTGTTTATCTTTCAGTGGAACAATCATGGAAGATTGGTTTGTTTGTTTACATTTCCACATTTTCCACAACATGTCCCCTCTACCCCTGGGGGAACTGGCAAGAAAACAAATCAGTATTACTAAAATGAAATTTGGTTAGAAAAGAAGGTTAGAAGTTCACTCAGGAAACAAAACATATTTGTTTTTGTGCTGACCAGTCCTTCTATAATTCATTACTTTAAGAAGCGACAAAATGGAATTTAAATGCTAGCTTTTTCAAGACTGAATGAAATTACCATGGTCTTTTATTTTACAATAAAAAGAATTAACCACAACTTACTTAGCTATTTTTGCTACTGGAAGGAGTAGACAGTAAGGCCAAATTATACCTGGGTCTGGAGTATATTTTTCTTCTAATTTCATTTCAAAACACATGTAATTATTTGAGATCAGCACAAAATTCTAGTAGAATCAACTCAAAACCTTCTAAGATTGTGGTATTGGCAAAATTTCTATTTTTCACTTAGATTTTCAGCTTATATTTGAGTTGAAAGAATTCACATTTGATAAAATCTGTAATTAGGAAGGTATATTTTATGATCCAAATAATTTGGTAAGTTATACCTTCCTTCTTTGGAATTTGAGATCAGTGTACAAATAACTGCTGAAAGTGTACTATAAGCCTGCTTCCTGCTTTAAATAAGTTTAAGATACAAATAAGCCCTGACATTCCCACTAGTGAAACAACTAAAACTACCATTTTCACTCCTCTTTGGGCTCTTATTTCCTTTTTACCTGTGTTTGCAGCGATCCTGGCTTCTATTTCAGACATGTCAGCACTCAATCTCTTGCCCTCGGAGGTTGGGGGCAAGCTCTCTATGCTGCTCCCACGGGAAGCTCCCAAGCTTACACGTCCAGATTCACTCTGTTAAAATTACAGGTCAATTTGAATTACTGAAGTTCTTTAAAAATCTTGGGCAGCCTAGGAGGAAAAAATACCAACTAGGATTCTTAAGGATTCTGTTCTGTTCTGAAAGAAAAGGCAAGTTTTCAGGGAGAGGGAGTTACAAGGGTCAGGGAGAGCAACTTGCGGATACTGGCCGTTTGGACAGGGCAGTCACTGGTGTCCGGAGTTAAATGCTCCAAACACTAGTTAACCTAAATGCCTTAGGCAAGATAATAAAAATCACTTCTCAAAATATTTTTAAACCAGTAGCAGAAAAATATAATAAATCTGAGTAACATGAAATGATAGATTTAGAACAACAATGTTAACTGGACAGTACAGCCAAGGTGGTGACATTTTTAACCGTCAACCATTCAAGTTAGGGATCATCCTAGGGAGGGAGGCGCACGGTTGGCAAAGGCAGCAATCATCAGAAGGGAAAACAATTGGGTAATAAATGGTAGATGGTTTTCATTGTCTGTCTCCACTCTTACACTTATCTGCTTCAGGAAGAAGATTCAGGATTTACATAATGGTAGACGGCAAATAATTACTTTCAGTTAGTATAATGTCATGACTACTAGCAAGGTTACCATACCATTTTACTTTTAATAACAACAAACCTGTTGCTTTGCCTGATTTTTCAACAATTTTGATTCTAAGCGCTTAATAGTATCATTTGTGGCGGGAACTTGCTCCATATTAGTATCACTTTTATTACTGGTATTTGTAGAAGCGATGTCCATGAATGAGCCTAGGAAAGCAGAGACATTTGACATTTATGATTATAGGTTGGAAATAATACACATACTTTATTTAATAATACATAACTTTAATTCTTTTTTAAACTAGTAAGATTTGAGTAGAAAAAAATGAGAATTTCCATGCTAATGATGATACCCGAACATATACATTTTATATGAAATTTAAGGACAGCCTAAAAAGGGAACCAAAATGCCTACACAGTCTTCTAATAGTCAAGGATGATTTTAAGGTTTCTAGCCTGAGCCAACAGAATGGAGTGGCTGTTAGTCAAGATGGGGAAGACCATGAGAAGAGTGAGTCTGAAGGGACTCTCAGGAGCTCAGTTTGGAAAATGATAAAGTTGAGTTCCTATGAGATGTCAAGCAATTAGTTGGACATATGAGTGTGAAGTTCAGGTATGGGATAGAGCAAAGTATCAGCAAATAGAAGATACAAAAAAGCCATGATACTGAGTGAAATTACTAAGGAAATGGGAGTCAATGGTAAGTGAAGAGGCCAAATGACTGAGCTCTCTGACATTTTTAGGTTGAAAAGATGAGGAACAACCAGCATAGGAAACCATCAGAACAAGTGGCCAGGCTCTATGCTGAAACCCAGACCAGTATTGCATCCTGGAGACCAGCTGAAGAAAGTACAGTAGGATGGAGAGCAATGAACTGTGTCAAATGTTACTGAGTCAAAAAAAGGTAAGAACTGAAAACCACTCATTTAGATTAGTAACTGTTGGTCTTAACAAGAGCAATTGTGGAGTAGTGGTATAATAAAAGCCTGAATGGAGTGAGCACAAGAGAGAAGCTAGAGAATGTAAATATAGACTGTATATGCTCTGGGAATGATCCCAATAGGCTAACACTGATCACAGAAGAGACAGGGAATAATTGTGGGAAGAGCAGATTGGATCTAATGCACAGCAGGCTTGCCTTCGGCTAGGAGACCAGACAGTTCAGTTATAGTAACAGAAAGCACAGTAGAGAGGCACAGATACAAGTAGGTGGGCAGATGTACTAGGGAGCTTGTGGAAGCATTTTGTGATGGCTCCAATTTTCTCAGAGCAATAGTAATTAAGGTCAGCTGAGGGTGAGGCGTGGCGAGGGGGTGAGTTTGAGGAGAGGCTAATGTACAGAATCAAGTCATCTAGGAGAGGGAGATGGACTAAAATATAGTACAACTAAGCAGCACTAAACAGGCATTTGAAGATGGTATATGGGTCATCTCTAGTCAGTTTCAGCTGCACTGGGACACACAAGGAGTAAGCAGAATGTCAGGCTTAAGGAGGCTTGTGGTTTAGCAACCCAAGTTTGAGACAAAGGCTAGAAAGTTGAGGATTATTCCCAAAGGAATTTTAATAACTGCCTGGAATTAAGTGGAGAGAGGAAGGGAGGAAGGGCCTAAGAGGACAGAGGATCAGTGAAAAGGTGGAAGGATCAAAGGACTGAAGGTCGCAGTACGGAAACAACCAGGGAAAGGCGTTTGGGTGTAGTGGTAGAAGGAAATAATGGAATTTCAGAGAAGTTCACTTTAGACTTCAGAGCAACTCAGAAGATTTTCAGTAAAACTGGAATTTGGAAACAACTAGCAAACAGTAAACCAGCTTAAAATAAATATAAAACTTCTGAGGTGGGAACAGACCAGGAAAAATATGTCAGTACAAATAAAAATTTAAGCACAGGATAAATATATGTGTACATATACCTTTTAATTTTAGTTAATAATGAATGTTTAAACTGTCATCTGTCTTGAGAAATTCAATTTTCCTAAGCTAGAACAGTACTGCTAGTATCTTTTTTGATGACCACAAACTATGGATCTCACCACTACTTGATATTTAGAAAGCTGAGGAACTTTGAACTAAAATGCAGCTTAAGTAAGGGTCTCTGTAGACTTCTCTACGCAAAACAAAAAATAGGGTGTTTATGGTGAAGAAATATACTGTTGCATATATTTACAAGAATTTCTAATATTTGCTCTAGCAGTATTTGTGTAAAAACTGCTAGAATCATTTTCACAGCAATACAACATCCAATCTTTTTACACCTAACTATGCAAGAACTCCAAGACTTGGAAGCAGGTTTTCAGCAACTTTTTAATCTGGGTACCTTCACAGAGAATGAAGCACCTGGAAACTCAAAATTGCAATCAATCATATGAAATGAAATTTAAATGTAAATGAGGGCATCATCCATTGCTTCTTGATTATAATTTCATGGGAAGAAAGACACCAAAAAATTAGGTTATTCCTCTTCCAATCTATCCATTTACCTGTACTGGTGGCAGAGTTGCTCTGTCCTTCATCTGAATACTGACAAGGGTACTGTAAAGGCTCATCAGCTCCTGGAAAGTACTACATATAAAAATGTAAATCACAACTTAAAATTTCTTTAATACAAATTAAATCCTGTAAAAATTAACTTGAAGAGTAGTACATTTGAATTCTTTCCTTGTCATGGGATTTGGATAAAACAAAGATGCCACTTCATTTTTCCTAACATATACTGCATTTGTAGACACCTGAATCCAATACATGCCCTAAGTTTTCCATTTTACAAAGATGATGATGTGTTTACTCTTCTGAATTTTAACTGTTATCAATGCCATGGATCTACCCAAGTACCTATTTACAGAGCTTCGATAGTCTTGGAGAAAAGAGCAAATCTCTCTAGAGGAACATATGAAATACCAGAGTATCATTCCTTCTTAACTATATTGAACGTATTTATGTTCTCAGAGGTGATATAAACCCCCCAATTGTTGAAATGATTGTTAGTGTCACAACTGAGATTGGTATGCCATAGAATAATTGTTAGAACTAATAATATCAAGGATAGATTATGGATGTCCCTTTATAAAATGGAGATTCAATATTGGTAATATCTGCTGGACAAAAACTAGAATTTATAGGGAAAAAAGAAAGGTTTTCTTCTCAAATTAGACAAAGCACATATAAGCACAATTACAATCTGAACAATTTATACATCCCAATGTTTTAAGGTATCTGACTACAGACTAAGTTTTCTTATGACATATCTTTAGGGCCTAGGATTCTGTATTCAGCTGCTATCCAAATGATGGTAAGCTTTAGTCAGATTAGTTCAAGCTGTTTTACCCAAATTATATGCAATAGAATAAACCAACTAAATCTTTGGCCACTTAGGAAATCACCTAGTCCATATTTAAGGAGATTGAAGATTCTTCTACTGACCAAACTGTTCTAAAATTCAGGCAGTTTACAAGTACGTGAACTTTTTAAAGTCAGGCGATCACTTGACAGATTCTGTTTGTGTACCAAAACTAGAGGCCTAAAATTATTCAAATGATTCTAAAAGCATTTGATTTATAGACTAGGAAATTCTGATAGTTATTTAAAAAGGTTCTCCAAAACTAAGGAATTCTGTAAATCCTAGAAGTTTTACTTTTTTAGTGGCAAATGAAAAGCTGAAAATACGTAATGAAAAACCAAAGGTAAAAAGTTACTTAAGTAAATATGTCTGGGAATGCTGACTCTTTCTTGCCCTGCAGATGACTACTTGATGAAAATCTGTACTAAAGAATATTTAAAATCTAGTTTAGCAAGTATTAGAATAAGACACTTAAGTCCTGTAAAGGCTTTAGAGATCATCTAATTCAGTTTCTTTCATGTTACCAATGAAGTAACAGACTCAGAAACAAACACATCTATCCATTCAGTTAAGCAAGAGGAAAAAGTAGGTCCAGAAACCTACCTAGTCTAGCCATCTTTCCATTATAAAGAACTAGACTGTTTTTCCAAAATAAAGTTTCCTCCTCTGATTATATGAGTAATGAATGCCCCGTCTAACACTGAAAATACAGAAAAGTATAAAGCAGAAAATAGCAATAATGTGCCTTTACTTTAAAACCCCATTAAAAATCAGTACATATCAAATTCTCCTAAACCCAAAGCCCCTCAAAAGAAGGATTATACCCGCATCAAGTGCGTCATTATTTTCACAATTTCCTCCATTGAAGGGCGCTGAGAAGGATCTTTAGACCAACAACGAGTCATCAGGCTCTCAATGGGCTTAGGTAAATTTTTGATCAGTGGTGGTCGAGTACCTATAATTGAAAATTAGAGGGGGTTGGGGAAAGAATGTATTTACCCAAACAATGGTATAAGCATTTTATATGTATTTTCCAAAGCAGTATTTATTTTATAGATCTTGTAATTTAAGATTTCCTTTGAATAATACAAGCACATTTTTTTATTCTTTAGATCAACATATCTTCATAAAGGAGAGGCTTTCAGAGAAGACTTGAAAAGTTAGATTAAGACTTTTATATGCATTATGTGATAGTATGACTGAGAATATTTCATTTGTTATAACCATTCTTTTAACAACTAATAATGGTGTAATCTGTTTTAAGAAAAACAAAATGGTAGTTTGAATTTTACTTGAACTATATTTTCAGATTTGTTGCAAAAATTTCAAGTGTGTTTGAAAAATCTTCTTCCATATCTAAAAAGTCATCTGTTATGGTGTTAAACTCACTGACCTCCAAATGACTCTTTTGTGGTAGGCAGACCTTTTGGCTATTGTGAATCAATCATTTCACAAGCTGAAAATTGCCAACTTCTGCATAATTACAAAAA